TTACAGTTGAGTGATTCTAATTATAGACATTGTCTTTCCTAAGAAGAATGGAACAAAATAAAGAAGATTTCTAATTTGTTGAGGGTGCTTCATAAAGTTACTTGTTTATTCTATAGTACAACATATCCCACAACTAATTTGTACTTCCCCTAAGTGTTCCTAATTCAACATACTTTGAAGGAGGCATTGACAGATAATGATAGTTTTATGAAGATAACGGGAAGTCATATGTATGTCAAGTTTGACAAGTATTGGTCAAAGTATAGTGTGATTCTTTCAATTGCTATCATCTTAGATCTTCGGTACAAGATTCAGTTTGTAGATTGAGCTTATTCAAAATTTTATGGTGGTGATTCCTTTGAGTTCAAGTGTGTTCAAGATACTTTATTTGAGCTCTTTGAATTGTACTCTGTCAACTTATTACATGTTGTTCCAAGTACTTTAAGTAGTGAAACAAGTTAGCGAGACTCATGGACTTGATGATTTCGAAAGCCTTTTTCAGGTAAATATAATTTAGTTTGTTTGAATTGAATGTGAGCAATGTAGTTTATTGTATATTCGTAATTATTTTGTACAAAATATAGAATTTTGAAAAACGTGAAGAAGAAGATTCTCCTGTTTCTCGAGTGACTGAGTTGCAGTTGTATTTTAATGAAAAAAGGCTTGATCGAAAGAAGGACTTGGATATTCTAACCTTTTGGAAAGGAGAGCAGTTTCGGCATCCTATATTGTCTCGGTTGGCTTGTGATGTGATGGCAAATCCTATTTCTACAGTTGCATCTGAATTTGCATTTAGTACCGGTGGTAGAGTTTTGAAAAAGTATCGAAGTTCACTTTTGTCAGAAATTGTCCAAGTTTTGATTTGTACTAGAGATTGGATTCATGGGAAGAGCAGTAAGTTTGATTTCATTTTACTAGTGTTATTTTTCTCATTATACTAATTCATGTGATCATTGATTCATTTATGTTTTGTTGTGCTTAGTTGTAAATTATTCTAGTGATGATTTGGAAGGAGAAATAGATGATGATGTTTTCAATCAAAATATAAATTCTAATAAAGCTATATCTGCTCAATGTTCTAATTCTATAATTGATCATGACTAAAGAGAGGTAATGCCAAATTTTTGGTACTTTATCTAGTTATGAGTTTATTTAATTATTAATTTTATATAATATTTCATTTTAATTTGTGTAGGGCATGAGAATTTGATTGTTGAATCTGCTCGTTATCGTGGAGGTGGAGATTTGATATCTTTCATTGGATTTTGTGAATCATGGAATTTGTGGTTGTTTGAGATTCTGGTTTGTAATATGATTGTTATTTCGGATTGTATTTATGATTGGATTGTATTTATAATTTGTAATATGGTTGTTGGTGGAATTTGGATATTTTGGATTATAGTTTGTACTTTATAATATGGTGTGGTATGGTATCTTTAAATATCACATTTATTTGTGTTAGTTTGTTAATTTTATAAAATTATATAACATTTTTAAATAAATAGGTAAATAGTTAAATAAGTGGCTTACCGTGTTAAATGGGTCAAATGGATGGTAATCAGGTAAATGGGTTAAACAGGTGGTAAACAGGTAAATGGATCAAACAAGTGGTTTACCGTGTTAACCCGACTCAACCCAACTTGACTCGTTTAAAATTAGACGTGTTAACTAAGTCGTGTCGTATTACCCGTTTATTAAATGATTCGTGTTCGTGTTTTTATTTTTTACCCATTTATTAAAAGTGTCGTGTACGAATTTACATATTTTTCACCCGTCACCCATTTAACCCGACACGTTTGACACCCCTAATATATACCCTTCATTGGTATTGACAGAACCTTCATATGGCTAGTACACTAACCCATAACATCGATCATCATGAACGAATAGTGTAAAATTTTAAACTTCACAAGGAACCAAACAATTCCACTATGAGTGATAGGAAACCTTCAAACCCTTTGAGGTAAGAAAAAAAATCTAATCACTATGCGATATAAATTCGAGTGAAATTCATGTTCATCACACTCACTCATACAAGAGATAATTTTATATTTTCACAAAATCCACATTTTCTGCAATTCTACAATTCTCAAGTAGAAGAATAAATCCATCGAAACATGTAAGAGATTGTAAAACAAATGTATTCCAATTTGACAATAATCAAAATTTAGGAATTTTAGTCAAAACATGGATTTTTTGGATGTAAATCATGTGTCTATTCAAGGAAAATGATACATTTAATTGAATAACAATCCAAAACCTTGTTTATCTAACATATAATTACGAATACGAATCAAAAGATACATAATATAACCCTAATCCCTCAATCAGTGAATTTCAGAAAAAAAAAACCCTACCTTAATCCGCGAGTAATATGATTCTACGTGTGTTTGATACAAGTTTATTGCATTAATCCTTTGTGATTTAGCACGTTCTTCTCCTTTTTCTTTTCCTTAAGGTTTTTTACTTTTGTTAGGAGTGAAACGTAAGTAAAAGGGCTTCAGGTCACGACCCTAAGCTATTTATAAGGTGAAAATAGAGAAAACTCTAAAATTTGGTTGAAGGCGTTCGAACTCTGGTACGGGCATTAACGTCGGTGTCTTTTTATCCCAATTTTCAGCTCTATTTTGACCTTGTTAGAAGTCAATTCATGAAAATTTCACAAAATACACTTTTATAACCCTTACACTCTACTTTATAGTGCTGCAAGAATTAGCTCAATCGAACATCGGGGTAAAAAATTATGGCCAAACTATTAAGGTAGTGTCAAATTCCTTTCTACCCGAATTCTCTCCAAAATACGTTTAAAGTCCGAAATACTTTCAAACATCTAATACACCTTATATCACCTCTTTCAAGGTTTCTCGACCTTTCATATTCAATGGTAGTCTTATTTTGACCTAAAAGCATTTAAAAAATTACCTAACTACCCTTCTTGAATTTAAATACTTCCGAAACTAAAATTGACTCGAAAGTTAATACGCACAAAACTCAAACTTCAAGAATAATCTTTCAACAATGATTCAAAGTTCCTATCATCATGTTATTCATCTTCTGAGGACTCTTGATATTATCCTTATTTAAAAATAGTATGGGGTCTCACAATCCCACCCCTTACAAGAAAATTTCATCCTCGAAACTTAGTCGTCGACCCCATCTTTCTAATTCCAATTGACCATAAAGTCTCAATGCCAAATTATCCTCTAAATATCAAATCCAATATCATATATATTTTCGACATTCAAGATTTTTAGATCTATCTCTTCAACTTATACCCAAATAAATCTTATATGCAAGTTATTACCATTCCACTCAAGTTATCAACAATCTATCCCCTAAGTGTCATTCCTACTATCGCCTCATTTTTGTTCCAATGATCCTGCTATTTTATACCATTATTGTAGTTATTAAAAGTTCTCAAGCTTACCTTCATTCTTAATTTTTGGTTATCTATTATTGTAATGTCCCCAAAATCTACAAGAGAGACATTAACTATCTATCAACCATCAAACCATGAGAGTATACTAAAATAACCATTAAAACAATAAAACCCATAAATTAATTCAATAAACAACTAAACTAATCCCAATAAAACATCAATAACGTCTTAAATTACATTATAAAATTAAAATAAATATTCTTCAACAAATAACTAAAGATCATCCATGTTAATATCAATCCATAACTATGAGCTAGGGAAAACATTGTTCTATCAAATCGTCTTCAAATTCAGCTGACCAATCTCATCTCTTTTAACTTAGCCATGAGCTTATAATGACTACAACTTATTTGATTCTAATATCATGACATTGCATGTGGTTTAATATAGCTCATAAGTCATAACACATAGGAAAACCCTCTTTATATTAATGCTCCTTTTCCAATGAGGCCATTAAGGAGTCACTCCACTAGCCCTGTTTAGTCTCAAACCATTAAGCATAATATTCTTTGCACATTTTCAACTATATTAGCAAATTTTCTAAAATGTGCATTTATAAAGAATTAAAACTAAGTGATTTTTTTCTAGAAAGTACATTTAAAAACAAGTTAACCTTTTTTATGAGTTGGCATGTTTCTACATAATGACTTCAAAGTTTGAGAGGTGAAATTGACTAATTAAAGTATCAATTCATATTTTATATTCTAAATTTTATTTTTGTTTGAGAATCTCACTGTTTCTTTTGAAAGGAACTTGTTCAAGAATCTCTTTTTTAGGTCAATGTGCAACAAACTAACATAGGCAAGGGGTGATGCAAAAATATTGTAATAGAAGGCGCAAAATGAGATTGGAGCTATAGTTCAGGGCTACTAAGTGTAATTTATCGGCAGAAGAAATTGAAATTTGGAATTTACAATAAGAGCCTAATTATACCCAATCAAAATATCAACAAAAAACCGATCTAGCTTGTTATTATTTTATCTATTCATCAACCACCTAAGCATTTGTACAACGTGATAGGCCAGACCCAAGTAACAGATGCAGATCAACAAAAGTTGTCACAATTACAGTTGGGCAAGCCCACCTTCTTGAGAGACCCAACCTATAATCCTGTGCACACGAGAATCTCCATCTGAGGAGAGGGAATTCAGGGGGATGCAGTCATTAGGGACACATCACCAGTGTCACGAAATCACCTTGCACATTACGTGATAAGACAAGCTTCAAGGAATCACCTTGTCCGTTACGAGGATGAGACGAGCTTCATGCAAGCAATCAATTACGAGGATGACGCCTCAATTTGAGCCTCGGCGCTAACTTCATTTGCCTATAAATTATAAACCCCACCTATACATTATCTCAGTACACTACATCTCTTGAATAATAAGATTCTCTAGTTACCGTCACTATTTCCAGTGGAGTTGGTCACCAAGACTAAACCACCAATCTTTGTGTTTACGTGTTGAACCTTGTTTACTTTATCCTCGATTGATTTTGCATAAATATTTTTGTGCATCATCACAAGACAAAGTATAAAATTATTGATTCACTCATTTACTATACACAGAATCGAAGCAAGTTGCACAAACCAACCTTTATTCCATTCCTATAAAGAAAAACTACTAAACCATCTAAGGCACATACAGGGGCATATCATTAGTAATCGTAACTATAATTCGACACCATATTTCTTTTCTTTTTTCATTGGTTTCCTGTGAGCATGGCCACTCAGCATCTTTTAAACAAAGTATCCGTTATTTACTTGTGAATCCATTGTCAGCCTTCATCTCTTCTAGATTCGGTAGTAATTGGTCACGGACTTGCCATCAAAATCCTTAGTGAAGAATCTAGTCATGAAATCTGAGTGAGTGAATTGTCGGAAAACAGCTGGTTTATTTGGTGACACAAGCTCTGGTAATGGTCCATGCAAGTCCCCCATCATGCTTGGGTTGAAGAAAACTGGAATCGAAACTCGTGGCTCGTGAAACGGGTTGGCCACCACTCGATGCTCCACGCTTTTGTATTGATCATTGGAAATGATCTGCAAATGGAAATTAAACAATCTCAAAAGTTGCATTTTGAGGCCAAAAAAAGAAAAAAAAATGAAACCAAATAGCAAAATAATGCAGTTTTTAGTTTCCTACACATGTTCATTTCCTCCCACCAAATAGACAGAAATCCTAGTTTCCATCCTACATTGTTCCTCACATGGTTAGATTAGAATTAAAATGATACATCACATTCCATCAATGTAGATGTTACAAACTCTAAGAAATTTAAGCAACAAAGCATAAAGTTTTATGTAAGTTACTGCTCAAACTGTTGAGCTTGTATGGAGAAAGAGGTCAAGCTCCATACTATCCCTAATATTTTAGGATTAATCGTTGAAGGACCTATGTAAAACTCGAAATATTTGGGCTTACAAGCAACAACTACTAGGTGATGAGTTTGAATCCGAGAGCAACCACTTTGGTGGTCAGATTTTAGAAATCAAACCTACATATTGCCCTTAACAAAGAGGATAAGGGTTTGCATTCAAAATGAGAGCCTCACTGTTCATAATAAGCATGAATATGTCTTCCTGCTTTTCAAGAGTAAGCATCTGGAGGGTGCCACCCACACCAACTAGAGCTCATCCATTCATTCATGGAATTATCGCCAGCCACAGTTTGCCTCAGACCTTCTACCTCAAATGTTATCTTTTGAACCAAGCCAGAAATATTGAATTGGATGATTCCTATGACTCTACAGGACATACCAGTTATATCTTTCCTGAAATTTGTTATGATTCTAGAACCAGTCTAATTTGTAATGTTCAATTTAAATCCCTAGACCAAAATATTTGGCACTAAATACCATCTGATTTTTCTTTTCCCAAACTCACAATTCAATTTTCATATGACTAAGTGACTGAATTTTTAATGGTGATAATGTATTCTGATTCAGCCAAGTAAAATCAGGAAGACAGAAGCAGAAAATTGCAAGTTAATAAGCTATAGAATCTTATGTTAACTATTTTGCTAGCCAAATGTTTATGTCCACAGCCTAATTATTGGTCTAATATACCTATCTTCAGCACGGGCCAGAAAGGGGATGTTGAAGAAATCAATTATTTCTAAGTTGCAATTGATAAAATCCTTAGCCATCGAGCCTTGAGTTTCTACTCCCCTGCACCTTGATCACAAAAAGAGAATACTCTTATCACTACATTTGATTACTCCATACTTCCACTCTCTGTTTGAATCAGGATATAACAGGGGACTCTGTATATAACCATCATGAGCCTCCCTGGAACCAATTCCAGATGCTAGGCAGAGCTACTACACCTGTGTTAGGCCAATTGTTTAAAATTCTGCTTACTTATCTCACCTCTCTAACTTAGCCATGAGCTTAAAATGTTCAAAACATGTTTTATTCTAAAGAAGACACTCCCAATGGTAACACTCATATTCAAATGAGGCATACAAGGAGTAATCTTAGATAATGAGAGCAATCTATACAACATTTAAATTAGATTCATATGAAGATAAAGTTTTCGAAAGTGCTAACATGGGACGATGGAATTCATAGTTTTGAGTCTCTAAGAAGTGAAATTTGTTAACTAAACTAAGAGACAAGAATTCAAAAACTCTTTATTCTATAACTATAATTCTATTGTTGAATCTCACCTTCCATGAGCCTCCAGAACAGTATGACATTTTATCAATGTGTAAAAACTCTGAGACAGGGTTTTCATGCAGTGCCTCAGTGCAAAAATTCTCATTTTATGATTAGTTTCATTTAAACAAGCATCAAGTGTAAAGATTATCACTTCACTTTCAAATCCTTCACTAAACAAAAATCAAGCATACCTAAGCTATTCAATCTATCGTCGGAAAAAAAAAAAGTTATTCAATAAAACATCGATCACAGTTTCACCAAAAATGACCAACACACACTCACACACACACACGAGAGATATAACCAAGAAACAAATAAGACCAACACACACTCACACACACACACGAGAGATATAACCAAGAAACAAATAAGATTGGTGTGGCCTACCTGAAGCATATCACCAATGTTGATAACCAGACCACCAGGGACAGGTTTGACATCAATCCAATCCTGACCACACTTCACCTGCAATCCCGTAACCTCATTCTGCAACACCACCGTTAACACCCCGGGATCCGTGTGCCACGTCAGCCCAACGGTCAACTCCGGTTGCGGACAGTACGGATAGTAATGTCCCGCCATAATCCTATCCGCCAAACACGACATATCCTTCAACCTATCTGTTTTCACACCCAACCCCTCACACAGCATCCCCATCACCTCTTCCCCCAACTTCACCACCTCCCGGTCCCACTCCGCCACTGCATCCCGGCACACAGCCGGAACGTGCTTCGATTTCGGCGGTGAGGGGGCCAGACGGACCTGCAGTGAGTCCCTCCAGCTGGCAGCCTTGGAGTGGTACAAATCGAAGTTTGTGGAGTAGGCAATACCTTGGGACATGTCCCTACGATAATATTGCATTCTCATGTCATCTGGTAGTTCATGGAAAGACTTGATGGACGAAAGCATGCGGTTCATGACATGTTTGGGTATGCTGTGGTTGATTATCTGGAAGAACCCAAGTGTGGAGGAGGAAAGACGAATCTGGTCGACGACAGTTGACCGGGGGCCGGAGAGATCGATGATGGGGATTGAGAGTTTAGGTGTTTGGGTTTCGGGTTTTGGTTTAGAAACGTTTTGGGGTGGGTGGTGGAAGAAGCGAGGGATGGTGGTGACGCCGGAATCAACGAGGCCTTTGACTCCGGTTCTGGTTTCATCGAATTTTGTTACTTCTTGGAGTCTGTCATAGTTTTGGTCTGGGTTCGTCTTTCTATTGATGGCCATGTTTAGTGACTTTCTCATCTGAAATGATGATGAACTATGGTCTTGTTGAGTTTGCTCTTTCTTTGGGAAAGAAAACAATAGAAATGGTCAGGATTTATAGTTGGCGTATGGGATGGGAACCAGATTCGGATGGATATAAGAATAATAGTTTTATACCGTTTGCTTGTCGAGAATTGGATTCTAGATTTGTGATGATACAAGAATAAGTTTTGTATTGTTGTTCATTGTTGACAATAGGCTTCTAGAATTTTAAGGCAAAAGGACGGAGGAGGCAGATTTTCCAATGAGAGAGAAAAAGGGAACGCGGTCTATTCACACGATGGACTTCTAGAATCTTAGCGCAAAACTAGGAGAAAAATTTATCAGCCAGAGAGAGAGAGAGAGAGAGAGAGAGAGAGAGAGAGACGAACGCGGTTTCTATATATATTAATGTAGTTTTTTTCTACAAAAATAATTGCATAGTTGACTACTCAATTCCACATTCTAGAACACCTATGAGGAGTCACCTGTGATTTTCGGGAACATATTTTGAGGAAATAATTTCAAGAATTAATAATTTTTGTCATTAAATTATGCCTGAGTCCTAATATAAATAGTCATAATCTATTAAATTCTCAAATTGTATCTCAATAACATTAATGTATCAAGAAACTACCAATTTCAAGAAAATTTTTGATGATGCACAAATTGGTATTGCGCAAAATCAACAGTCGAGTATATGAACTGATGCAGTTATGAGCAATTAATAAGTAATCAATGACAATCAAGAACAAAAACGGTAAATAGGCAATCAACTCAAAAAATTATAGTAGTTCGATCCGGGTGACTTACTGCACTCTCGGCAACGGCGGTTTGAGTCTTTTATTAATAAATGAAGTCGCCGGAGAGAGTATTTTCCAAGAGTATTACAGTGCTTAGAGGGGGAGAAAGAAAGAGAGAGAGAGAGAGTAATGTGTGTAAGAAGGTGTAGTATGTGTAGGGATCTCAAGGTCATGAAAGCATGCCCTCTATGTGCAGAGGATTTACATTATATAGGTTCACCAAGGCAGTGAGGCGGTGACGTGAGAAATGAGGTTTCTACCATTTTGGTAAGTACAATTTTAGTACGATTGGATCTCCGTATCCCGATATTCTCTCGCTCTCGTGTCCCTATTCCGTCGAAGGATGATCTTGATCTTGAGCTTGGACTTGGAGTGGGCCCGACTTAGACTTGCATTGGAATAAAAAAAAGGGGAAGAGGAACGGGAGGACAAGCCATGGGCAGCTCCCCTCTTTGGGGGATCCTTGACGCTGGCCTCTTGGCTCCTTTGGGCATGAGTCTTTTGATGTCCTTTTGGATTTCCTCTTGATGGGTCAACCTAGGTTCAGTTGGGCTCTTATTTGGGCTTTCTTGGTTTATTTAAATTGGGCTTGACTCAATCAAATTCGGGGCTCATCAATTTTCATTGATATATTTCAATGAATATGGATCCTCTCGCAATTCCAAATATTCATGTTATTAGAACATAGTTTGAGGATTTAATGTATTGTGAACGTTTGATTGATAGTGGTGTGCATTCAATGTTAGGATCCACATACAATTTAATGATCACAATCATTAAATTTTTAACTTATATTCTCAAATTATTTTTCAATAGCATTACTCTTATTTTTAATTAATTTTAATTTACATAAATATAAAATAGATAGGACAACTGGTGCCTCATGCCAACAGTATAATTGTTTACACAAAAAAATATGCAAAAAATCTGAAAATGACACATTACATGATTCAATAGATGGGGTT